TCACCGTATATATATAGGAGACTGGTTGCGACAACCAGGAGCCCTGCTTAACTGGTGATTCCTTGACTAGAAGGAAGCCCGGAAGACTGGCGTGGCTTACGTGATTGACGTGTGAAAGTCGAAGCTGCGCGTGGCGTTCTCGGCTCAAGGGGGAGAGCACAGGCATTGTGACACTTATCCTGAACTGGGTATCCTTCTTCACCACTCGGCTCCCTCCCCCCTCTCTCTAGTCTTCTTATCAAAACTGACCTATTACCAGTCAGCCCATGTACGTTGTGCTGCAGATTTTTTCACCATACTTTCGCTGAGGGCCGTCCTTTTTTGCAATTTCCTGCGTAATTAAAAATGCCTGTTCACTAAATGCATACAATCCCCACCTCCCTTTTAGCCCCTTCAGTGAGCATGGATGACGGACCATTGTCCTCTGACGACGAGGAGGAGGAGGAAGAAGACGCAGAGAAGATGGAGGAAACCTCCTAACGTCTTCGGTTTGGTTATGTTCCATCACCTGTACAATATCGCCCACCTTTTCTCCCCAAATGTAAATGGTTGCTGCCGTGGGGTGTTCTCTTTTGAATGAGTGCTGGACGGATACGCCAGTAGTTGCTGTGTGTGTGTGTGGCAACCGTTAGACAGGGGCTTCTTACCAAGTTGACTACTGCGCCCGATCTTATCACCTCCAGTCGACTCGACTCGGTCTTGCCGCCCGTGGATGGGACAGAGGGACGAGAGAGTGTTCGACCCCGCTCCGATCAAGCGCTTAGTTTCCTCAGTGCAAATGCTTCGGAACTGTCCGACACGCCTGCAGTCATGGCCGGGAAAGTTGTCGCCGGTGGGATGAGCAGCTCGGTACCACTCTGTACCGTGGGTCCAGTGGCTCCACGTGCAAGGCATCATCACGTCCTCTCCAGGAGTGTGCTTGTTCTTAGAGGGTTCTGAATCGTGAACGGGGGAGACAAAGTGTAAAGGACGTTTGTTCGGCCTAAGGGGATGCACAGGCACCTCAGAAGCAGGCGCAAAAAGGAATTGTTGTGTGATGTTGCTCATGTTTGCTAGATCCGACCGAACAGTAATCGGCGAGGACGAAAGTGTAGGTGAACGTCTGACGCCGCAGCTGTGACCGGACAGTCGATTTTCGCGCCTGCATTCCGACACATACTGACAGGATAAATTGAGTGCGTGCGTTAGGCACGGCGGAGAGCTGTCGTGTGAGTAGGAGTGCGCAGAGCTTAAGGAATGTACAATGTTGCAAGCTGGGGACGGAGAGGCGTGCTAAACGTTTATGCAAGTAACAACTTTTGTAAAAAAAAAAGATTGTTAGGCAAACGTGGACGGGAGAATGTCGGGCCATTTGTCGCAGGATCGGGTGGGCAACGACACGTTACGAGCCAACCGTCTTGGAACGATGAGCGAGGTGTGTTGACCCTTCAGTGGGCCCGGTGATGCAACCAGACAAATCCATGATCTGTGAAAACATTGTTCATGCTGTCTCTGGACAAGGTTAATTTAATTACCTGCGCAGAGATGCAGCAGCTCAGATCGGCTCTCCAGATGGTGACGTTGCCGTGGGATTTTGAAAGATCGAAAAAGGAGACCTGCTGCTCCCAGTCACCTCCAAAGGGGTCCCTAACGTCGATTCATAATTCAGAACATTCTGTTCCCTTTCCAATCAGAATGCGATATAGTGCGTCCTCGAGTCGGTAGCTGGGAGCTGCCCTCCAGGGGAGGGTTCCAGATTGCGGAGGCTAATACAGTGGTTTCAGTCACGATAAGATCCTCAACTGTCATCTACTCTCCCTCCCTCCCTCTCTATCCGCCTCTCTTTCCCTCATTCTCTATCTATCTCTACCTCTATCATCTATCTCATCTCTCTCTCTCTCGCCTTGTAAGTTGCACCTTTAGGTAGGGAGAGAAATGTACCGCATGCAGTACAGGCTAACCAATCCGTCTGGGGGTGCATGTCTGCCCTTGTGGCGTTGACTTGGACGCAAGCCGATGCAACTGTTTGTGACTGCCCAATCACCACTGGGCTCACTAACGTTGACCCCCCCCCCCGACAACAAGCACTGTCTTCTGCTCTGGGCACATGTTTGGCTGATTAATGCGCGTTCACGTGTCGCAAATTTGCGAGTTTCGGCTCGCTGCCGGGTTTCCCAGCTTTCTTAGGACCAATTAAGAACTGCACGCCCGACCAGGTTGGAGGCAATATTTGAACCAACAGAATTCGAATGGGAGTGAGGTCGCATGCGGAAGACTACTTATGTGCGTTTTCAGTAACTGAGCGTGCTAGCTGCCAGCGGTGCCATAGTCTACATTGCTATTCCATGGGTTAGGTTCATACAGTAGGTGGGCTAACTCATGAGATGTCAACCGAAATTCCCAAATGCGTTTTCGTTTCGAAAAGATTAATTAAGCAGGTTTGTAAAACTAGTCAGCCTGCAGTATAATTCTGATATTTCGGTTACTGCAGGATGCCGGCTTTTAAATGAACTTCCTTACGGCTGTATGCGAAAAGCACACTCTGCAAAGAATGACTATTTAAATAGCATGCATTTTTCTCACTGATTTTCTATGCCCTTAAAAGTCCAATTATATTTCATGGAAAACACACATAAAAATATTCATCCTTTGTCCATTCAGTGGAAACTTACGTCGTCTTCCAATCCTACCCTCGATGGAAGGGTATAATTCGGTTTTCTAGACCTTTACCAATTCCCGAATAATTTTGAACCCGCTCTACTATCACCTATGGATTCAGGGTTTCCAAACTACAAGCCGTATATTTTCCGCGTATGGAAAACCACACATTTCTCTACGGTAATAAAGGGAGACCGTATAGGGTTCATAAAATTTAGCAGTGGATTGGATCCATATTGTTAACTTTACAAGCCACATTGGTAAATACAGAGACATGAAGATTTATGAACGGCCATTTCACGGTATTTAAAAGTCCCACAATTGGAAAGTTTTTCAAAACCGAATTATACCCTTCCGTCGAGTATGGAATTGGAAGAAGATGCAATTTTCTATTGAATGAGTTAAAGAATGAATATTTTTATGCCTGTTTTCCATGAAATATAATTGAACCTTTAGGGGCATCGAAAACCAATAAGAAAAATTCATGCTACTTAGGTAGTCGTTCTTTACAGAGTGTAGTTTTTGCATACACCGGAAGGATTTTCATTCGAAAGCCGGGATCTTGACGTAACTGAAATATTGTAGAATTACGTTTCAAGCTGACTGGTTTTACATCTCCACTTAATTAATCTTTTGGAAACGAAAACTTATTTCGGAATTTCGGTTGACATTTCATAAGTTAGCCCACCTACTGTACGAACCTAGCACTCTTAGGCATTATGTTCTGGTGTATTGTAGTTGTTGGGAAAACATTTTTACCCTTTAAAAGGGCTTCCCAAAATGAGAATCCGGAGACTTGACGCTTTGTCGTGTATACGTGTTGCCCCCTTTTCGTATGCCAGTGACTCCACTTTATCTTGCTACTTTTTAAATATAATTAGCGGATATGGAAGTTCTGTAGACTTATCAGTGTAAATGTCTAGCTTGGTAGTGCACAATTTCCTATGGGTATTTTGGCCGACATAATTGCCCTACCCGCGCTCCGAAGCACATTTGCTCCACTTTTTACGAAACTTCAGGCCAGCATCGTTGTTGGCGATCATGTGGAAGGGCACTGGATGATCAGGCATCTAGCACTGTCAACACAGGCGAACGTTCCCGTCAGTCGTTAAGTTATGTTTTTTTCGGACTTTGCTAAGGTTCTCACTAAAACCCTAATCTCAGCTTCGCCCACATATTTCAAAACTGTCCCTTACGAGTGTGCAGAATTAACATGGAGCCCGCTTTGTTGCCTACATCCGGGGCATCTCCCTCGGCAGCGCCCCCTGCGCCGTGCTGTTTTTAAAAAAGGAAACTTGGAGACTGCTTGAGGAGGCGAATTTGCACCGATCTGCTCAGCCTAGCGACAACGACCGAACCCCCCCCCCTTGCACTGTTTGTCCCCCCCCCCGACACCATAATGCCGATCGATCGGGCAGGGCGAAGACGCACACATGCACCTCGCATGGCGTACTGACAACATAAACGACTGGCCATTGGCTTACTTGAACCATTGCCACTACTGTTTTCTGATCCGCCTGTAAGTGCCCCCCCTGGCTGCAGTCAGGGTGGTCTTGCTAACCTCCTGATTTGGGAGACCTCGTGGTCTACCCCCCACACTTCGACAAGGCCTTCGCCAGCCGCTTCATGTGCGAAGCACGTGTCGGGGTACAGTTCTGGCGCCAATTAACTCACAGCCAAAGTCTACGTCGTTGGCACCGAACTCTCCAGACTGCATCTCAACGTCTACGCAATCAATTGCAGCAAAATAGCCGTAACTACACCCGCCAAACCAAGAGTGTCAACTTTCCTTCACTAAGTTGTCGTCATATCCATTTTATATTTGAGCAAGAAGTCTGTGAGGAAACTGAAATTGACGTTCCTTTTAGTGCCGCGCAGGCGATCATTGGTTGGACACTTATAGCAATAGTTTTCGCCGGATCCGAGATCAGGAGCGGATTTCTTCACCTACAACACCTACCACGCGTGTGCTTGTCGCATTTCCAGCAGGCGTCTACAGCAGCTCTGACGAAGAAGAAATGTAAATTTTCAGAACTATAATATTCTACCAATGCGTAGGGTTACAGTTTAGTACGGAGCATGGCCGGCAGCTTACCAGCCGGTCATAAATCTACCAGCAACATATGAGCCATGAAGTTGTCGCTGAAATGCATCCTTTTAAATTACCTCGGAAAATATGATATAAGCGGTTATAGCGTAGGAGGAAATCTGTCACGGGTATGAAGGATCGAAAAGTATTGTTAATGTTGTGAGCGAGCTCAAATAAAAGTAGGCGTTGACTCTTTGCGATGTTCAATTTTCCGTTGTGAAAGTGCCTTGTCCTCTCTCTCTCTCCCTCTCTTTCTTTAGTCAGATTTTGATCTTTAGAAAAATGAACTAAGGTCACATTTCTGACAGAACATCATTGCAGAGAGGAGTAGCATGCCGCAGACCAGAGTGAGGATCAGGCAATTCAGCATGTGTCCCCACTTAAACTGGGTGTTGAGCAGTTGAGCCATTTCAATTCTTCGATTGGCGTGGGGATAAGGCATGCCAGTGGGCACTTCAAGACCAAGAAAGTCACAGAGAGGTTCCCAACCGTCCTGGGCGTTGAAAACGAGGAGGCGTTCTTTGGGTACGGTAGCAATCACCTCCTGATTCCACCGTAGGTAGGCCTTTTTGAGTTCATCATCGGAGACATGAAGGAAGTCTTCCCCAAAGGTGCATTTAAACATGGCCTCATGGAGCTCCAGGAGACTGCTTGTGTCGGTAAACCAATGCACCAGACGGCGGCCGGGCGTTGGCTTCTGCAGCATTTCCCTTGACATCACTGTGGCCCGGCAGCTGGCGACCCAATCGTCAGCGTCGCGGACTGTCAGAATAACCTTAAAAATCAGGCATAGTTTCAACCAAAGGGAAAATCCGTGGACATATGTTGAACTCGTGACAGCTGCTAAACACACTCTACTGAAGAAACGTGTATTGCACAATGCAAACGGACTGGAATGCACTTTTCTGGCTTCCGTGAGGCGGCTGATAACGTCGTATGAATAGCGTTTCAGGCATTTCCTACTAGGCAAGTAGTTTCTTCGTGCAACAAATGTCAGCAAGCCCAAGGTTTGCCTTGAGTCGTTTCCCGTTTAATGACATCGGACAAAACAGGCTACTGATGTTGTATTAGTAGTTATTTTAGATGTATTATAGGCACATGAGTGATCGACTAAGTCGCGGTTGGGCACTGAGTATCATTCTTAATGGCGGCTGGAATTGCTGAATGCGTCTTCACCCGTATGAGAAAAAAGTGCAGAAACGTTCTAAAGGCAGGAGTCCAACGACCTACATTCGCGAGCAACTGTGGATCGCAGTCTGATCGGCCTGCCGCCTGTGACATTAGTCTCTGCTTCACAGAATTTTAGCAGCCTTGATCACCCTCAGCCGACAGGGGACTCGGATATCCTTGTAAGTACAGTAGGTTACAACCCCAGATTCAGGAGCAAAAGCTGAACTGCAAAAAAACCAGCTCTCAATAAACCACCCACCTTTGCCTCCGGAAACATCTCCATGAGTTCGCGGTAGAAAACGCAAGTGGGGTAGTCAACCGCAGAAGCGAAACCATGCAGGTTATCTGCCAGCATTTGTAACAGCCTTTTTCGGCCGGCTGAGTCGTCGTCGCGAAGAGAACTGCGCAGTTCAAAGGTTTCCACCCACTTCCGCAGGGCAGGTTCTCGGAGTTCGCGGACCAGAGTGTACATATGGTAGCAGGGCGCCTTTAGGAGATGTGTCAGCGCACACTTCAGACTGGTGGTGCCCGTGCGCATTAAGCCGCTGCCGATTACTTGCAGACCGCTGCTATCTACGCGGAACTGCTTACTCCAGCCATCACTGCGCTCTTCTCTGTCAGGCTTCGTGTCCTTTTTCGTTGGCATTTCAACCTACAGATTGAAGAGATGGTTCATGTTACGTAGTGTGTTATTGCCAACAATGACAAGGGAGACTGGAATGACCATTTCTGGCTGATTTGACGTCGTCAGCCAGCCATACCCAACCCTGAAGTGTGGAACACTCGCGGCTCGAGCTTGCCACCTGTTAGAAGTCCACGCCTCTAACTACTGAGCCACGAGCCCGCTGTCCTGTCGGTTTCGATCGGGAATATACAATGGTAGGGGGCGCTCACCGATCGTTCTTACTGAACTCACTCGTTCCGTTATGCTTTATGGACTCTCTCTCGAGCCCAACCAGCCGTCGCACAGTGGCGCATTTTATAGGCCGTATATTATTACCGACAAATATAAGGGAGTATGGAATGGTCATTTCTGGCTTATTAGCCGTCGTCAGCCAATCATACCCAACCCCGAAGTGTGGAACGCCTGGAGCCTGAACTCCCGACATTGATATTACTGACTGAGAGTTATTTCTACGGTTCGGAAGCGCACTGTCCGCAACCTCCCTATTTTCCATTGTTCTTATAGAAGTTTTAGTCTATTAGTGCATTAGTGATTAAATGCACCTGAAAGTGTGGTATAAGGTATGTGCTACTGTTTTGGCATGTATCCCAAATTCAGCCTCTGTGGATAATTCAAGGACAGAACTAGTTTCCGGCGCATAGCGCCAGAGCTGCAGATAAAGCACCTTTTTGTATAACGCACTATTAGGCGGAAATTCTAGAGACATGCAGGATTTTGGAAACTTACACCCATGAGTAAAGTATCACGGAATGGATTGCAGCAGGTAATGTTCTCGTTCTAGGAATAACCCTTCACTGAACTGGAAATAATCGGACTCATGTTTATAAATCGAGAAAAGTCAGTTCAAAATAACAATGGGCATATGTATACATCCGGAAATTGGGAAGAGTAAGGTATCATGGGCAAGATCTTATTTCGTAGCCGTAACTGTTAGGGGTTAGGGCTGAGGTAAGTAGTTGGGGTTAGGGTTAAGGTTAGGGATTAGGGGTCAAGGTTCGGGGTTGGAGCTTGTCTACTGCAGGTACGGCTATAAAATAATTGTATATTTGGCCCTTAAACAGACAAATAATGGCGCATGACAAATTGAAAAATTCTGTCCTATGACTGTCAGTAGATTTCCTCGTGGATTCAAGGCGTAAGCAGAACTTTTTGCATCGATTAACAGTGCCGCCATTGGTCGGGTCTAATTGACCCCCCTTGTAAGTTAAAACCCAGACTAAAGCCCTTGCACGAGGACACATCGCTAGGATCAGGCAGTGGCCTAAAACTGTTCAGAGATAAAGTAAGTTGGAGAGGTAAGTGAATTCTTCTTGAAAATTTGTTTTACGTTCTCAGGGGACTTAACCGAAAGTCCAGGGTGGAACGGGCAAGAAGTCAGAATCCAAATGACAAAACACTACGCACAACCCACAGTGTTCTCTTCAGTATAACCCTATCCGTAAATTTCCCGTCGACATCACCGGAGTATTCCTCACCGCAGTGGACGCGCAAGACGCCCATCTCGCTGTCGATTCATGCAACTTTGGATTATTTGCAAAAGCATTTGTACGCCTTGAAGTCCTAAGTGGTCCTGGAAGTGGCAGAGCAAGCCAACCAGACACGGATGCCTCCGATGACTCCTTTCCATCTCTGTCGGAGAGCAGGGCCTCAGCAAAAGACGTGACAATTTAACTGCACTCACCAGCCGACTGTCTTCATTTTTATGACACAGGGTAGAAGGCTGGCAACGCCACCAACATATTTATTTTGTACTGTCCATTCACACTGCTCTCCTCAGAATGAGTGGCGTTTTGATAAGCATAAATGTTCTTTTGGTCAACGAGTGGTTTGTATTTCCCAACAACAGATCGGAAGACCTCCTACATGCCCGACTGCAGGCCAGCAAAATAAAGGAAAATTAATTCGGGATGGTGGTCCGCCTCGTCATCCGCCGCTCACTCACATGTCACAAGCCGAATCCGAAAGCAATCTCCCAACGACCGTTTCTGGCTCATTCCCCATCGTCAGCCAGCCCAATGCGCTCCAGCAGCCCACCTGAGACGAGTCTTGCCTTGCCTTCTCTGAGGGGCCAAAGAAACACCAAGAGGACATGGGACTAAGTTCTCCGCCCCCCCCCCGCCCCCCCTCCCCGTTATACCGATGGCCCTACGCCAAATTCCGGGACGGGAGGGGGGTGGACAGGGTTGGTGTCAGGACGCGAAAGTGGATATGACCCTGAAATGTAGCGCAGGATCACCGACAGTAGGGGGTTCCTTATTGCCGTCTGCAAGCGAAGCATCCTCTCACGCACTCCTCGCGGGAAAACAGGCTGCTTCCGCGGCACCCTTCGTACCTGTCGGATCACGCATTTCTGGCCACGCGTTGACAGTTCGGCCGCACAAAACCCTGGTTTGACTCCATGTCAAACGCTGTGCTAACGAACTTACGTGTCGCCTAATAGGAGCGGAAAATTGCAGATACAAGCGAAGATGCGAGTTCTACTTATGCGCAGATCCGGGACCCGGGCTTCAGGCGAATAAAGCCCTTGTTCCAGCGATCGCCTCTTCTCCTGATCAGGAGCGGCAAATTAGAGGCGGAAGCATGGATGAAAGCATGGGTCTTGAGTAAGGTAGGTATTCAACCCAACGCATGCTAACGCTTCAACCTGCGTGGAAACCGCAGACCCTGTCGGGCTGCCCGTGTCTCCTGATGTCTTGTTGCTTCAGAAACTCCGCGTTGCCTGACATAGGGCAGGAGTCGGAGTAGCCGCTCATTTGCGCACTGTGATGTGAGCTGACAAGTTTTCCTTTCCGAGCTATTGAAACAACGTATATCACGCTGCAGTGTTATTTAAATTACTGACCGCTCTTCAAATTAGAGCATTCTGTAAAAAGAGCAGATAGACAGATTGAAACCCGTATTAAGTGCCTCTTGTTTCAAAATGGGTAGAAGTACTAGTCCACTGCCTTTATTTTACTAAGCTGTTATGGCCACAGTATGGTTGACCTGGTATCGTTTGCCAAACGGAGCGCACACCGATCATGTTACGAACCCCAGACGTCCCGCGTTGTGCCTTGGGGCCCTCTCTCGAGCCCAACCAGCAGCCGCACATCCGCGCGTACTAAAGGACGGATAGCATTACCGACAAAGACAAGGGAGACTGGAATATTCATTTCTGGTCTTTTAACCGTCGTCAGCCAGTCATACCCAAAGCTGAAATGTGGAACACTTGGGGCTCGACCGCGCGATTTGTTGGTTAGAATTCCAACGCATCTAACCACTGAGCCACGGACTCAGTTGGTTTTCATCGGTAGTGTTATTCTGCCGCTATGCGGCTGCTTCTTGTGCAAGAGAGGGCCCCAAGGCACAACGAGGGGACGAGTGCGCTCCGTAAAACAATCGGTGGGCGCCGCGTCTACCAAACAATGTCATGCCAACAATACCGTGGTCTTAACAGATTATTCAAATAAAGGCAGAGGTTAAATGCGTTTGACTTCTAACCAACAGGTCGCAGGATCGAGCCCCAGGTGTTCCACGCTTCGGGATTGGGTGTGACCGGCCGACGACGGCTAATAAGCCAGAAATGGCCATTCCAGTCTCCCTTGTTTTTGTCGGCAATATCGCTATGGCATTGATCTGACTCGGAGCCACTGTATGGAGACGCCATAACGACAAAAGATTTGTCTAAGCGAAGCTGATTTTCTAGTGACCTTCGAACGCTCGTTCTTCTCCAATTAAATTGTCCTTTTGAATCAAGTTTTCTTTTTAGTTTTCTTCTGACAGCAAACCAGAGACTGAGTAGACAGGGCAGGCCCATCACCTATCGAACCACCCGCAAGTTCTGCTCCAATATTGGAGATTACGATCGAATTTGACGTCGTTTTAGCATAGCCTGCATTCCCACTATGCGACGCATGTCGTTTACTAGGCGTTCTTTGTCGCAAACAAAACTGTCTGCTTTCACAACATTTCCAGACGCAGCTATTAATGGCCATCGCTGCCTCGTGACAAAGTTGCGCGCGCTCTCTCTTATTTTCAGGATTTGAGTTGTTTTCGTGGAATTTGCCTTTATAAAAAATACACGTCTCTGAAATCTCGAAAATATATCCCTAAACTATACTAAGGTAGATGTGGTTGTCTGCGAAACTGTCGACTCAAAGTCGAAAACTGAAGTCGCACAAATAAATTCGTCTGCACCGATAGCATCAATCAATTAAAAAGTCCTTCATTTCGAACGCCCCAACACAACCGTTTATCTTGTCGGTTAATTTTTTTCCATTTCAATTTAAATTTACTCATACTTTTTCCTAGTACGCCCCCTATGCGCTGAAGAAATTATATGCACTTTGGAGTTAATAATTTCTCCTGGAACGGCTTAAAAGTCAAGGAGTTTCAACACTTTACTTATCTGTGATTACTGTAAAATTTACCGCTTTGTTTCCTGACAGGCTGATAATCGCGAAGGCAGGCAACGTCGGATCGTATAGCTAATTTGTAGAATTTTTGACATCTGCACCAATTTTGTTTCATAATAGGTCATTTAGGAAAACCGTAAAAGTTCTTGAGCTGCGTTAAGATTCGAGATCTATTTATTTTATCATATGGGGAGGAAGTATTTCTATACTTACCTAAGACTGGTTATAAAAACCAAAGATTTTCAGGATGGATATTAAAAAAAACGAATGCCAGTATCTTTAGTCACTTTTAAGCAAGGCAGGTCGAAGATGAAGCATCTAGTAGTGACAACTGCTTCACCTTCATCTTATCATTCACATCACCACACCAGTGACGAAGTATATGGTTCAGACTGATGGGAGGCTTTTAGCCTAACGCCCTCACTCCGCCCTCCCCAGATCCACCATGGACGTCCTCGCAGTGAATAACGTGACTGACTCCACATTCGCACGAGCTGGTTTTCAAAATAAGCATCTGGATATCTCGCCGAAGCTGTTTGCCCTAGATGCCATGTATAGAAGTAGTCATCGCAGTTTGCATTTACTCATCACTTCAGATGGAAGTCTTCTAAGACACGGATTATAGCTTGTCCTGGCAACGGGGACGTAAAGATTTAGATCCGTACTGGGTACCCTCACTGCCCCATCGCTTCCCCAAGTGCGGATAATGCCGATGACAGTGGTCGACTTGACGTGAAATCCTCCGTACAAAGCATGGCACTCACCCGTCCGTATGTCTCCACCTCTAAGTCTATCGTTCGACACCAAAGTCCTACCCACCTGCACACAGATACGATAGTTCGACCGTCGATGCCGACGACGTCCAGGGACGGTGACTTGTGCGTGAATCAGTTTATACTGAATGTGGACTTGCACCGCATCTACCGCACTCTCTCCTCCCAACTCCCCACCTGGGTCCGGTGTCAAGAGAGAGTCAAGAAGACCGGAGGCGAGGAAGGGCGCAGGAGGATGGCGCGGTCGAGCCCGCCACATGGCAAATGACCAGGTTTTTCACCAACAACAACAACTATATGGGGATGGCAGGAGTCCCAGTGTGCGCCATGTCTGCCGACAACTGGGTCTGCCACCGCACCCCGAAATGCCAGCACTTTATTACCGCGCGCAATCCGATAACGCCTGCCAGAATCTGATATTGCCCGCGTGTTGATCCAGAACATCTATCACGTGGCCGGTTTGGGGGGAACCTCCTTCCTGCACACAGACACAGACGAACACAAGAGTTCGACCATCGTTACCGACGATCTTCACCGTGTGCAGGGAAAGGTGACCTTTGCGTAAGTTTGTTTGTAGTGATGGTAGACTTGCGCAGCATCTACCGCACTCTCTCCTCCCCCCACCTGAATCCAGTGAAAAGACGTTGTCAAGAAACCAGAAGGCGGAACAGGACGCAGGTGGCCGCCACAGCGGAAACCCGCACCCAGGCGTGCCAGCACACCTCCTGATCCCTAACGCACACCGACCAGGAATTTGCATTACAAGTAGATAGGGGTTACCCAATTCCCAACTGGCGCAGGAGAGCCTGCGCCTTGGCGTGTCACCACACCGCAATGTTAATGGCTGTTATGAGCGGGCATTCGCCTGTCGGACTCCGATCTAGTCCTGCCTCGTGGCCCGCTAAAGCGGGCAAAACACGTACACACAGACGCACATGACAGTCCGGCCGTTGTTGCTGACGGCGTCCACTGTGTACTCCACAGCAATTTGCAGCAAGCACGGTGAATTGCGCTGGCTTTAGTTCCTAGTGAATATAGACTTGCGCAGCACCTACCCAACTCTCTCCTCCTCCTCCTCCCCCATCTGGGTCCGGTGTCAAGAAGACCGATGGCGAGTGAGGGCGCATACACGCCGCCGCACATGTGACATTGATTCTCGTGAAGACACACAGTGCTTCTTTTGCCTAGATAATGGAAACCAGACACAGTAATAGTGCTTAGAAAAAATTCCGCCGTCGTTGCTGCCCCCGATTAATACTTTTGTGCTAGGTGTCTGCAATTCGGACTGAGACGTCTGCTGGAGTGTAGGCACTGCGCTGTCCTGAGCTGTAGTCAAGGCAGCCGCAATGCACACCCACCCACCCTGGTGTGCGTATCCATGCGCGCACGCGTGGTTCAGTTGGAGTACAGTTCAGGGAGTTTTTGGGTCATCGTCATTGCCATATGACTTGCCAGTGTCACAAGTCCGAGATTAAGATCTGCCGAGGAGAGTTACTCGCTTCTATACTCTCTTGCAGGCGTCTTTCTGGTGACAATGATATTGAACTTCGCACAAGCCGGTCACATGAGTAGCCAGTTCAACATCCAGCAGTTACTTTTATTGCAGAAGCCGATTAAAATGTGCCCCCGATGTGCAGATTACGGACCCGACAATACTTAATCGGTGATTAAAAACCAGGTTAGGGTAAGTCGAACTGAAATTCAGTTGGTCGAAAAGTACTGAGACGTCGACCAGGATGGTGTCTAAGTTCGCCGCCTTATAGTCCTTTCTAAATTCTCTTGGAAATTAAATAAAAACAGCGTGGGAACCTGAGTTTATAGGTCAGAAAGCACACGGAAACTTTGAGGTACATACCTATGAGCCGAACCCCTTGAAACTAAATCATGCAGCAGCAAAAGACTAGAGAAGCGCGAGTGTCTGGACTTTCAGCTAGTACCTTTATTGTCACAATTTTCAGGCATCTAGTGTTTGCATGCTACTGACTACCTGTTGGGAGAGTGTGAGTAGCACGCGGTCATTCTAAAGTTGCTGGAAGATCTCAGTTTTTTTTGCGAGTCTAAAAAGATTTCATCGGGAGGATTTACTCCACTTTGGTGAAATACTTTCAGGGGGAATTAAGAAGGTCAACACTGAAACTGGAGTTTATACACTAAAAAGCACATGGGGGATCCATTAATGAACTGAGGCCTTCGCAGCTGCCTAATCAAACGACACAAGATCAGCGAAGCACTCGTTGATATGATAAATCACTTAGTATTTACAGATTACATCACCCCTAAATCAACTAGAACACATCTCCAACAGTTTTGTTAGACGATACAGGCTTAACTTTATTGCAGCTTAAGTGGTAGCGATTAGTAAACCGACGTAAACGAGATAATCACACCGAACGCAATAGATGAAAGTCTTAGAGTTGCGAAGATTCCCATAGCAGTAATCAGAAAACGAGGTGGCGAGCTTAGGAAGCCTTCGATAAATTCTCGTCTGACCAGTACAGTTATATGGGAACGGGGTAGAAGTAAAACATGTCTGCGATAAGAGAAATCGATAAAATTTCCTCTTAAAACATAGGCGGGGTGTAGGGGAGGGGGAAGGGGTGAATACCAGTCAAATGAGAATTTGCTATGCCATATTTTAACACACTGAAAAAGGTCGCAGTGAGTTGAAGAAAGTGAATCGTATGCCTACTTCCCTGGCGAATAGTGGGTAAGGCAGACTAATAATAAAAAGTGGGCAGACAATATCAAACCTCTGATGAATTTATCACTGGATGAGATTAAACAGACTCAGCTGCCACGCTTGGACCCGAGCTTGCCTCCTGCTGGCTATGGGGAACTCCGTTTTTAATTTGATATTCGATAAACAAAGCCCGTAGTCTACACGCATTTGACATTTGTCAAAATCTCATTTTTTTTCTTAACCAGCCTGCTCGACTCTGTTAAGATTCACCTACAAGAAGACCTCCATGGCGGCATCACGGCAGTACTTATGTGTTCGTTTGATGGGTGCGGTTTCTAACCACCTCCCTCCCCCCCCCTTCCCTGCGTGATGCGTCATTGGGCAAAAAGCGCTGGTTTTGGATAAGACAGCATTTGTAAGAAGCACGTACGTGAACACCGAAACACGATGCTGAGATTGAAAATGCTAGCAGTTAATTTCTAGCAACGATTTCTAAACTGGACTACCCGCCAAAAAGCAGCCGCGGAATGCTGGGTGATCCACTGACGGGCCGAACCCCTCACAGCTGCGCCATGCAGAGGCAGAATATCGGCGAAACACGCGTGTATGGGATTTTGGCTAGTACCTGTGCTGTTAGTATGGTATCACCTTAACCTAGAGTATGCCACTAGCTGTCTGTCGACAGGTAATGAATATTACGCGGTTACCCGCTGTGACTGATGGATTTCGACCCACATATTCATAAATAAAATTCTCGGTCTGAGCCTATAGGCCTTGAATAAACTAATCTACTCCAACTTCGTAGATGATTTCTGACGAAATTAAAAAGTGACGGACGTACTCCCCCTCCCGCCCCCGCAAGGATGAACGATATAAATGTTCACAATTTGCTGCACTCGAGTAACCTCTGATGATGAACTCTAGTTCGAGTTCGAAAGCTCAGGCAAATAAACTTACTGTCCCAGTGATCGTGCCTTCGCCTTCTTTTAAGATTGAAGTATCTACCAGAAAACACACAGGGAATACCGGGGGACCCACTGACGACCCGAACCCCACGCAGCTGCGCCATGCAGCGGCAGAATATCGACGATGGACTTCAGCCCAAATACTCATACATGTAAATTTCGGTCCGCGCCTGTAGACCTAAGTATATGCTAACCTACTTCAGGTTCGCAGTTAATTTCTGTGGAAATTAAAATGCAATAAATGCTTTACCGACTGCTCCGGGACCCCACGGTACGTTATTCATGCGTTCAGCTGTTTGTCAGAGATGCAAGGAAAATAGCTGAGCACCTGGAGTAGTTAATAAGCTCTAAGAAACATACTGACGTATTAATTTACTTAGCCGGCTCCGAAGGTCTAGGAAAGTCAGGTGGAACGTTTAGAACGAAAGCATCGCATGTCCACTCTTGTATGTGACATCGGAGTGTGCAGGAAGGGTCTTAATTGCCATTAAACCACAAACATTAACGTGTCCGAATGTAGATTTTTGCCCATAAAACGCGGTCTACTTATTAGACGTTAAAGAGCTTTACTCTTCTTCTAAGTTTTAGTGACTTCAAGAACTCCATTGGAGGAAATGGAGATACAAATCTGCAAGGTCTTAACGTTTTATTGTATTTACTGGGCGCAGAACGAACTATGACGGTTTTGATTTGTCTTGTGGCTGCGAAAATTCATCCGTCAAAGATGAGTAAGTGAGCGGAAGAACTGGTACAAACAATCACTGGCAAGTGTGAATTTTAGATTAAAAAATTGACCATTTTCGGGGACCACTAGTGCTTACAGCTAGGCCGCTGAGGTTAAAACTCGGCATAAATAACCTGCGCTGATTCCTTTTGTCACTGATTCTCAATAATAATAATAATAATATATATATATCGAGGTGGTTGATTCCAGACGTTGCAGTAGATTGGGCCGGTAACGTGACCCAAATGTGATTAAACTCGCGTCGTCCGGCAGGGCCTCGTAGCTCAGGTAGTTAAAGCGTTGGCTGTACTAAAGCCTTCCCCTGACAGTCATGGGTTCGAATCCCACCGAGCCGCCGAGTTTTCACAGTTGAGCCAAAGTGAATATTTACCTTATCTACGGTAGACTTCCTCTTAAAATATCATAGGCCCTTGACCCGGCGAAGTCGGATGCTCAAAGTCCCTCACCTCCGAAGAATATCTGCCTATGCATAATTTTTTGTTCATCAGTTTCGCAACCACTGATTCACCATTTGGGTGAATGTCGTTACGAGGACAACGTTCAGGGAAGACATGGCAGTTTTTTCTCCCGAGTTTCTAAGAAGTCACGAATGTCAAAACTCAAAGCCCCCGGTCTTCCACTTTCACTGTCCAACGGCCGTAATGTTGTCTTTTGTAGGCAGGTTGAACAAACGCAGCAGTCAGTCGGACATCGCTCGGTCGCCATGGACATGAGCCATCTACCAAAATCGCACTCGTCTACTGCCAGAGCATTCTGGAAGGATTGGCAGACAAATCGTTAAGTTGTCTGTCACTGTATTGAAGTACAGTCTGCATGCAGTACGACGGAGGATATAATAAAATCGGATGGCGCAATAAACATAACAAGACGATTTCTCAGACATTCTAGTACTTGAAACGCCGACTTAAAAATAGCACATCTTAATCCTAAAAAAGGAGTTCACAGCGAGCCGTTGGTGTCACAACCTCAACTAGGTTTTATGGCCTTTTCTGCTTACAACACCAGAGCTCACCTTTTCTGCCCAAGGCGCGGTCGATTGCAGGGCTCCTGTATGTCATAAACCTCGTGCAAAACCCTTCACATAGCATGCATCACATCCACTGCTACAAAGGCGGTACGAGATATGCGAGCCACCACAAGGGACGACCATAAGCCGCCAGTATTCCATTCAGAGTAAACGACCCAAAGCTCAGGCGTCATTTGAACAGTTGCCTAGGACGCTTAAGGCACTTAATTCGGCTTAAATTACTGCACTGGAAAACGACCTTTTGTCTATGCTTATGCATGAATTTCCTTGTCTATTGGTAGGCTGGACTATGTACTGGAAGACATTTTTTCAAGGAATGACATAGGGCGAGGTGATATTCTTAAATTACCAAAAAAATAAATTACCAACCTTGTCAACGAAGGCCTCGGGGGTGCGGTATGTTGCAGCCGAACGCAAAAAGACACCCGTCACTTCCTTGTAGGCAGATAGCAGCAGATTAATGGTCGAACTCAGAAGCCTGATAGGGAGTACGCGTGAGGTGCACATTGGGTGATCTTATAGCCGCAGAGTCCTCGCAAATCGGTCCAATGCGGATAAACCGATCTATCCTTTTTTTCAGCTTAACTCTGATAACGCAACACCGCGCGCGCCGAGTCAGGGTTCTACCCGGATTAATGGTGCTGCTGTTGCCGCTGCTGTTTCTTAGGCCTTCCGATAAGGCCCGTTTGAGATGCAGTCTAGGCTCTTCTGCGAAGTAAATACTACTGTAATACCCTGCCGCCCAGCCTATGTCATGACTAGACAGCTTTCACTCGGAGGCCTGATTGGATGATGACCACTTTTCCTGGGGCGGGGGGGGGGGTCAATAGACATGGCGTTGGCACACATGTGCACGCGCGTGCAGCAGTAAGCCTAGGACTGGATAGAAGTCAGCAATTCTCAGTTGTCGCCTGATGGGTCTCAAGCGTAGCTTTCAATTCGCACTTTGGTTAG